CGAAATCAGTTCGACAGGTTATGCTTTTGGGTATTCAGTGGCCTATAATTGCTTTCGAACCTACTAAAGCTTCGACGGCCAGGGGCGAAATTTAACTTCGATAACGATCTACCTTCGACGACCATGCGGGTACTTCGTTGCACCATAAGCTATGATGAATTTTGCCTCTGACTGTATCATACGGCCGCCGCTCTCGAGCCCCATAACCCCCCGGCTGAGGAAGGGGAGGCCGGGGGAAGGGGAGGCTCTGGGGGCTGGCGGCAGTTATGGAGAAACGCCGTCGAAATCACTTTCGCCGATCAACGTCAGCCGTCGATAACGGTCATCGGACGGCCGGTAATGGCTGTTGCTCGTGTTCCACCGGCTTAAGTTATGGAGAAACGCCGTCAGACCGTCAGACCGTCGACTCCATGCAACTGATTGAAGGTGCCATGCAGGTGACTCGATCAGCATTTCATCTTTCATGCAGATTGACGTTCTTCTGATACATGGCCACGAAACCGACATGCCTGTGCTCTTCATAGGCTAAAACTAGACCACGATCGGACAGTTAGTGCCCGGTTCCTCGCACCACCGAGTGAAAGGATGCGTGCTATTTCAGACGCATTTTGCCCATGAGGGTGGGCACCATTGATCGAGTCCAACAACGTTCGAAGACTCGTGCCAGGTCCCAACACTTGCACATGACGCGTGCCATGATCACTTCTAGCCTGGTCGGCACAAATCACGCACCTAAAATGTACGTTTGGGATTGAGCTAGGGGATTATGCTCAACAAAATCACTTTGCAAGCTCAAGCCACGAAATTTATTGCTGAACTACACAATACGCAGCCGGAATGTGCAGCTTGAATCCAGGATTGGCAACAATGTACAATTCCAAGTACAACGAACTGATAGACCATAATAGAAAACAGCCAGGAGACTCGATCATCAATTCACAAAACATGCATCGACCTCTTGCCATTTATGAAGCGAGGCGAAGCTCATGCGTGACCGTCAAAAGCATCCATGAGACATTTGCTTGAACCAAGCAGGCGCGTGTTTCAAAAGTTCGGCCATAAGCTTGTTGGCTACGGTGAACCAACTTAGGGAACGCCTCCAACTCAAGCAGATGCTCGCTCTTGCTCCATGGCAACCAACAACGCAAGACGTTCTCGTACCTGCAAAGGACAAGGGTTAGCCAGAAGCGATCAGGATGCGTTTAACCAAGTTAGCTGCGGAATCGAGCCTTACAAGGCACTCCATCATACCAGCAAAAAGGACACACGGGTACGCTGTCACCACTTTCTAGGGTATGATTGTGATTCGTGTGTCTCGTTAGCATATCTTAGGCAAAGGTTTGCCACAGCAGAGTACTCTAGACAACGGAAAGGAAATCGGCAGTCAGGTTTCACGCGAAACGACGTAAGGCCGCAAGCGGCATTCAAGCACCCCTGGAAGCCTTTCGTCTAATCCTTGAGAAGGAGGAACGCAACAAAAGAAGAACTCTCCGATTTTCCAGACATTGTCTTCAAATGTCCAGCAAATCTTCCCAAAACAACAAGTATTGCGATCTCGTTGATAATTCAGCAACCCAAACAAAACGTCACCACCACACAAACGCGAATCCAAGGCGAATCAAACCGGATTGAATCAGCACAGGAATCTTGTCGAGTATTTCTAACCCTCCGTCTCTGCGCACCTGAGAGAGGGCCTCGATGTCCTCAACCGGAACCCCTTTTGCATCAGATGCAGCTTCGCCCCCTCTGTTTTCGCCGCTCCTGAAGTCGCCCGGAGTGTCCGTTTTTCTTGTTGGACTGAATTCTTGCTGGGCTGATTTTCTGAAGTCCTCTTCAAAGCGACTAGAGCGACGGGAATTTTCCTGGCCGTCACCCAACGGTTGGATTCTAGACAAGTGCGTCATATGTATCCCTATTTGTTTTTCCACAACTGTTGACTCGCCGATTTCCAAAAATGGTCCTGCTTCTGGTTCCGTTTCTATCAAGCTTTCACTCCGTTGCCACTCCTGCTCTGAAGCGCGCACGTCCTCGCTTCCCGACGCGAGGCTTTCCGTTTCTGCCAAATGCAAATCGCTTCTGATCGCCCAGGCCTTGGATTCAGCAACTTCAGCTTCCCTCACTCCTACTGACCCTTTCCGTTCTTCTCTTCGAAATTTTTTGTCCGCCTCCGGCTTCGATTGTCCAGCCCCATCTGCCATTCCTCGTCCGCTCGTCCCCGACCTAGTTTCTGATTTCTCCCCTTCGACGAGTACTTCCCTCAGATCAAACTCATTTGGACCGCATACCTCGTTTAAAACCCCACTACTTTCGACATTGCTTCTCTCGCTCTGCTCCCCCATTTCCGACCCCCTCTCCAACCCAACCATTCCCTCCTCCCCGAAAAGCTTCGCACCCCGTCGTTTCGCCTCCAGTTTGGCCTTGGACTCGAGCGCTGAGGAGTGCTTTCCGTTTTGGGGGGGTGGCGCCGACGTGTCGTACCAGTGGCGTGGGACCCCCGCCACGGCGCGCGCGGCGTGGTTGAACGGGCCCTTCAGGGTGTCCTGGCAGTACTGTTGTATCAAACCTGCACCAAAATTAAAGAGTCAGACGGTGTACCGAGGAAAGCGGCCTCCACACTGGTAGATAATGGGGCAAGCGACGGTCAGCAAAGATTCAAACAGTACACAAGATTTAAATTGGAGGTTCTAAACTAAAACGTATGCAGGGGAAAAGACCTTCACGGCGAATGATCTGTGAGATAGCACGCGAAGGTCCTCATCGGATTCAAAGAGTGCAGGGGACAAGGAACGGTCAGACCATGTCAGACTGGAGTTAGAACGACGAAAATCAGAAATCATTTACCAAAAGCAAAAGGCTCCATGTATCACGATCTGTGCTTTGAAGTGACGGGCAGCAGTAATTTCGACGGTACAAAGGACGAGGAAGGAGATTTTGGCGAATTACCGAGAAGAGTTAAGGAGAGAACGATTCAATTGCAATGGATATTGGCTGGTACCTTTCTTGCCGAGGGCCTCTGGCACTCAGTTCTGTATGCTTCCGAAGGGTTTGATGAGCTCTCTGTATTGATGCCCAGATTGTGTGAAATTCTAGAATGCGATTCTTGGCAAGGGCTCCTCGTTTAAGAGGGTGATAGCACCCCCGGTTGACAAGACGGTCAGCTACCGACGTTACGAATGATTACTCGCCTGATTGCAGGAAGGAACGAGAGCCGACGTTCCTGCCTGCCCTCGTGTTTGAAACGGCTCACGCGCTGCGCTGCCAACTCTTGGTTCTGGCTGTATGGATAGAAGCCAAGTAACGTATCTTTTTCACTGAAGCAATTAAATTTAAGATTCAAACGGCAGTAGTCAAGCTTTAGTGGGCTAACCTTGGAAGCTCTCCCCGGGGTCCACTCCCGACCGCCGACAGACGTGCAGGAACCACGTGACGCCGACTGCCACGTGGGCAAGCTCCTCTTCCGCAATCTTATCGACGATGAGCGCGGACCTGCCACGTAAGGCAACTCCCGGTTACAAAAAGGCGGTTGGTACCTGATTACAATGTTGACCTCCGTTCTTGGCTGTTGCGTAGACGATGGCCAAGATAAGAAAAGCCCATCAAGACATCCTTGCGAAGTCAGAACATCGACCTTGGTTTCATCTTCTCAGATTGGTGACGCAAGACTGGAAAGACCCGCTCCAAAGCCGCATCACTACCAAATTGCTCTGGCGGCACGCGTTTGTAGCGTACGACGAGTGATAAAGAAAGAGCTACAGATTCCACAACTGCCGTCGGTCGTCGTGCGCTAAGCAATTCCTGATATCAATCTTGGACAAGCACAGAGCACCAATTTGGTCGTTAAAAGGAAGCAGAAGCAACTATCTTCGAGGGGCCTTGATCAGCGGCCAGACTGCACAAACTCCAGACACGTACAGCAGTTTCATGGTGCCACGTGGCCGCTGACCTGGCGTCGCCCATCTCCTTTAGCCGGTCCACCAGTCGCGGCCCCGCGTCGAGGCCCCGCGCTTCTTGCACCATCGGGACCACCGCCAGGCGGGCCGTGACGTCACCAGACGTTTTCTGGTAAAGACAGTTGGGGACGTGAGAACTGGTTCTCCCCCGACTGGCGAGCCTTTCGCTTTGACTTGATTGTTTGATTTCGTCGTCTCAGCTTACAACCCTGAAGTGGTCTCCACGGTATTGAGGAGGACGTTCAAAGGGAACAGATGCGACCGCTCAGTCACGTGTCCTCTCGCGTTGCTAAGGCTACCGACAGCCAATAGTTACATCAAAAAGAAGCAAGATCGACTGACATCGCGAAGAGACATCCTCCCGATTGCCCAATCCTCTTTTGCGTCACAGCACTCATCGTGAAATACTTTCAGATAAAAGTTCTTTTGAAGGAGTCCTTGATGGACCATACAACGTCCTCGTATCGATTCAGAACAATCAATGCGCGTAGCAAGTCCGTTTGCAGTGACTGATCGAACAGCGGCAGACGCGGATCTTCAGGCAAATGAATGGCGACAAATCTCAGCAGCCGCCCTCAGGACTCTGTACCACCGATCCTAGGCCCAATCAAGACTGGGAAGAAAAAAAGGAGAACTCTGTCCCTCCCCAGGGCTCACCAGGGCGTCCCTCCAGAGCAGATCATGGGCTGGCATGTCGCCGTATGCGTGCCCCAGCTCCGCCAGCCGCTGCAGCACCCAGCCCAGGTGGCGGCTCTCGTCGTCCGCCACGTGGGCAAAGTCCGCAAAAAACGCCTCCCCTAGTTGCGCGCGCAGGGGGGAGAAGCGCACGAGGGTGTCCCAGGCGAGATCGATGGCGTTGAGCTCGATGTGAGCCAGATTGTGCAGCATGTACGCGTTGAGGGGGAGGGGGGCGCGCGTTGGGGGGGGGGACCGTCGGCGGGGCGGGACCTGAGGAGAGCGGAGGTAAGTTCGTTGGTAAGGGGGGTCGTGCGTAGGATAGTCGTTGTGTT